TAAATAATGTTTCAAATACATATATATAGAAACATCCTGAAAACATTCATTGTAGAACTTTCGGGAATGTTTCACGGAACATTCCATGAATGTTTTTCATTCAACAATATTACTGTTTATGAAACATTCCCATTGAATGTTTCAGAATGAAAAATACCTACCAATATCGCTGGAATATTTTCATATTGCTGGTGAAATAAAAGATAATAGACATAAAAAAATGGATTATATTGCTTATATAATGATGTATGAAAAAAGCAGTTAAAAAAGTATCATCACATATTTCACATAATCACGACGTATTGGGTATATATGTACGTATATATCAAGTAATTTAACATCGTTATTCACATGTTGAGTGCTTCAATATTTTTCTTCGGTTACATCGCAATTGAAAGCACTATTCTTGTGCAGCTTCTAAGTATGATGAAATTCTCACACTCCATCCTAGAACAAAAAGTATCATTATGAATATACCCATCATGATATCTAATAATATTTGATATTTCATCTGAAATTACGGTTTTTCTATATTTATACGTACCTCGGCCTTGTCCATGGAGCCGTTGAATACATTTCAAAGTCCAGCCACACCAGGGGATGATAAAAAAAAATGGAGTCGTTTGTGTTGTTTGTTTGGTTGCAAGTTTTGATGTTACTTCACATGGCCTAAATCAGCTAAGAGGTCTACCAGTACGATTAAATAGTGAACACTCGAAAATGTGTTTGACTTAAGTGCAATAATTATATTTTATCACTATTATAAGATTTTGGATGTCTTTTGTTTTGCTTGGCTTGAGACAACAGTCGGAAAGCGAAAACTGCGAAGCCTTTCACCAAGGAGAAGGAAACGGAATGCGCGTGCGCGAACGCTTAGAGCCGAAGACGGGAACCCGCGATCGATTACCGAAGCGGCCGAAGCCACGAAAGCGGCGGCTGTAGAGGGGAAATGCTGAATTGCATCATAATATGATAAAATGCTTGGTCAAAATAGACCATGTAATAGTTGTGAAATAATCTAATTAATTTATTAAAATTCGGGTTATTTTGAAATATTCTTAAGTTAACCAATTCAAGTTGCATGTCTTGGAATATTGTAGTAGGTAAGTAACTCCTAATAAATGTGTCAAAATGTCGATAATTTGAGGAGCTTTGGAATTTTTCAAACATATTCCTAACGCATTGGAACAATCCTGAATCATTATTGAAAGATATGTTTCAATTGAAGTGATTTTGAAACGTTTCATTAATTAATCATTCAAGTAATTTTGGAATGTTTCGGAATATATCAATTGAAGTTGTCTTGAAATGTTTCAGAAATGTTGCAATGATATTGAAATATCCCTGGAATGTTCCTGATGAATGTTTCCATTATTCAGAATGAGAGTAATATCGAAATGTTCCAACCATTTGAAATTCAGGTGATTTTGAAATGTTCCTTAATCAACCAATTTCAGTTGTCTTTTGATATTGCAGTAATTCGTAATAAGAGTATATTTGGAATGTTTCAAAATTTCTATAGTTTGATGAACCTTGAAATGTTCCAAACATATTCCGAACGCATTGGAACATTCCTGAATAAGTAGAAAATGATATGTTTCAATTATTCACAATTGAAGAAATTTTGAAACGTTTCATTTATTAATTATCCAAGAAATTTTGAAATGTTTCGGAATATATCTGTTGAAGTTGTCTTGAAATGTTTCAGAAATGGTACAAAGATTTTCAAATATTCCTGGAATGTACCTGAAAAATGTTTCCATCATTCAGAATGAGAGTCATATCGAAATGTTCCAATCATTTAAAATTCAGGTGATTTTGAAATGTTCTTCAATCAAGCAATTCAAGTTGTCTTGAAACATTGAAGTAATTCGCAATGAGAGTATATTTGAAATGTTTCAAAATCTCAATAGTTTGAGGTACCTTGAAACGTTTCATACATATTTCGAACGCATTGAAACATTCCTGAATAAGTAGTAAATGATATGTTTCAATTATTCACTACCAGTTTTTTTTGGAATGTTTCATTCATTCACTTCTCAAGTAATTTCGAAATGTTTTGGAATATATCAATTATAGTTGCAACATCCCTGGAATGTTCCTGAAAAATGTTTCCATCATTCAGAATGAGAGTCATATTGAAATGTTCCAATCATTTAAAATTCAGGTGATTTTGAAATGTTCCTCAATCAAGCAATTCAAGTTGTCTTGTAACATTGAAGTAATTCGCAATGAGAGTATATTTGGAATGTTTCAAAATCTCAATAGTTTGAGGTACCTTGAAACGTTTCATACATATTTCGAACGCATTGAAACATTCCTGAATAAGTAGTGAATGATATGTTTCAATTATTCACTATCAAAGTTATTTTGAAATGTTTCATTCATTCACTTCTCAAGTAATTTCGAAATGTTTTGGAATATATCAATTACAGTTGTTTTGAAATATTTCAGGAATGTTACAGTGATTTTGCAATATCTCTGGAATGTTCCTGAAAAATGTTTCAATCATTAACATTTTAGGTAATCTTGAAATATTTCATAAATGTCTCATGTTTACTGGGTATTACATTATTTCGAAATATGAAAATTATCGACGTGAAATTTCAAGTTTTTAACAGTAGGGACACCTGCGTTTTATAGGCATCTTTATCATTCTTTTGAAGTTATCAAATATCTGATGTCACTTCTGTCAGTTCAATTCTGTGATTTGATTTTAAAAAATTGAGAATTCAGTAGTTGTTTAGTAATATACGAAACCGCGAAGTCGAATGGAAGATAAAAGGACTTGCAGTTCTTTCTCGGAGACGGTATTATTGACTCATTTTTCGGAACTATAGCACAACAAAAGCCATTAACAGAGTATATATATGTGATATATATCCGGGAAAGAAGTACTTACTTTTTTCCCACGGGAAAAAAGTAATTTATGAAAAGTGACATTTTATAACCTGCCAACAGAGATGAAATGCCAAACTTTTTTCCCGTCACAGAAAAAATACATTTGTTGCCCAAGTTTCGTGTGTAGTTTAAATTAATCATTTTTTAAGAAATTCAATGAAATTGTGAGGAAAATTTGAAATACTTCATTTTAGTTGCCTGTTCATCAACTTCAGAAATTCCATATCACAGTTTACTAAAACCTCATACAGGGTGAAATTTGTTATATGGACCAAATTGGCAGAATTTCTCAAGACCGGTCCTGGATTTTCACGATTCTGAATATGTCAGTTGATTGCTGAGTGACAGCATGATAATCCATGAAAAAATGAAAGAAATCGAAAGAACTGTTGGAAAGTTATGATTGAAAGAAGTTTTTGCCATATCTCATTAATCACCCTATAGATTATTTTAGAAGAGGCGGAGACACTTTCTGATGGTCATTTGGTATTCCCCTCAGATGCCTCTATTCGTAGTAGGAGCATGTACAGTTCCTCATGACTCACCCTGTATAAGGAACAAAACATTTAAGTAGAACATATACTGGTAAAAGTCACACTATAAAAAAGATATTGAACAGTTAAAAACGAATTATAAAAACTGACAAACTTAATTAAATGCGTCTTCATAAAATTCTTGCAAGGTATAAACTCGATATTATCATCAATAGTGAGCGCTCCTTCCTCGCGTCCTCTACTTCAATGTCACAAACGCAACGATCGCTCGCCGCCCGGCCTGGGTTCAGAATCCTGATTCAAGGACAAGGCCGAGCCCGACCTAAGCGCGCTCTATCCACGCTAGCGCGCTCGCACAGTCGATCGCCGTCGCTCCTGCCTCAGCCAGCGGCCGCCGCCGATCTCACCCCTACCCCGGCCCTGCCAGCTTTCTCTCGCCCTTCGAGTGCATGTATTGTGCCAGACGCGGGGCAGCAAAGGGCTAATTGCAGCGCAAGCGCGCCCTCGACCCGCGATACCCCAACTGCAATTCGGTTTCACTTTCGTTCGGGAATTCGAACGGGAAACGCGGTCGCGCCACGCTTTTCCAGGACCAGGCGTCGTTAGTGATCATTTTTTGCCAGCCCGATCTGTTAGTGAAAGTTTTTGGCAGTCAGTGAAACCTTCCAACGATAATTTTCCAGGCTGGGTCGTGAAAGTTCGGGGGAGATGTCGAAGATAATCAGTTAGTGAATGTTTTTGGCCGATACCTTGCAGGAAAGTTCGTCATAATGAATCATCTTCTACAAGTTAATTCGTCATAGGCAATGCTTTTTGACGAATGAGCCGAAGATTTTCCTGGACGAGTCGTCATCCTGATCTGCTAGTGAAAGTTTTTGGCAGTCAGTGAAACCTTCCGCCGATAATTTTCCAGGCTGGGTCGTCCTAATGAATGATTGATGGGGATGTCGAAGATAATCATTCGGTGAATATTTTTGGCCGATATCTTTCACTATAATTCGTCATAGTAATTCATCGTGGCTAATTGGTAATAATGAATATTATCTTGCTCATACTTTTCCATACCAATTCGCTGTAGCCGATATCTTGACAGGGCGATTCGTCTGTGAATAACTTTGTGAAGGTATTTTGCCGATACTTTTCTCAGCTAATGCGTTAGTGAAGACTTTCTGCCAATACTTTTTCTGAATATCGAACTAGTGAAGACTTTTTGCCAACACTTTCTCAGGCTAATACGTCAGTTCCTCAGTGAAGACTTCCTGCCAGATCTTTTTGTGTGGATAATACATAAGTGAAGACATTTTGTCAATATTAATTACGGCCAATACGTTATAGAGGACTCTTTGGCGATATTTTTCGGTCTAATAATTAGTGAAGACTTTCTGCCAACCATTTTCTTGGTTGATCCGCTAGTGAAGACTTTTTGCCAACACCTCGGCCAACACTATTATCCTGGGTAATACGTTAGTGAAGACTTTTTGCCAATTCTTTTCTTGGCTGATCTGTTAGTGAAGACTTTTTGCCAACACTTTATACTGCAATCTCGCAAAATCGATTGCTTTTTAGCGACATTTTTCGTTAGTGAAAACTTTTTTTCGCTGTAATATGCAAACTTCGACAATCGTGTTCAAAGCCGAACCGGCAGACTACAGTGCCTCCTCCTCCGGGGGGATTGTTTCTTCCACGTCATCCTCTTCTTCGGCCGTCGTGCTGGGGAATATGAGACCGCCGCCGCCACCGCCTCCTCCCAAGGTCAAGGTCATCGACGTCAAGCTGGAGGAACCGACCAGCTCTATTCCCGATCTAGGTGAGCGAGATTGGTTGATGTGCATGCAGAGTTGCCTAGAGTACCTTGATAATGATGTGGCGGATTTAATCGGGTGTTGGTCGGAAGTTAACGAAGTCGGCATCGAGGCTATATTCCGAATTCACTTCGTCTGGTCAGTACTAGAGTCACTGTGGATGTTATTAGTTTGATAAGAGTTCGGACACAGAAATGACAACGGTTAGGGTTTTTGAATGTTTTTTACACACCTTGCATTGTGACGAGAGCACCATAGTCGTCCTGCGCTTTTTCATTCAAAATTGTTTGAATTTGACAATACATTTTATAAACGTCAGAATTGAAATAAAATTTCATAATTATACATTCTAGATAAAAGCAGCTATGGAAATTACTTGCTGTGTAATAAATAGTGCCAATTCTGAAAAAATGAATATCATTTATTCAATTTTCCGAAACAAATATCAACCATTCGCATATGGAAGGAAGATATGAAATGGCCTGGGTGCAAAATCAATTTGAAGACGAGCGAAATTTGTGAGGTACTCATTAAAATTCACTTTTTATAACGGCATCTGATTAGCATGTAACTATATTTTAGGCCCATTTTCAAACAGAACATTTCAAAATCTGTTTGTGAGAATCTGCTGTTCCATCGATTTACAAAGCAGGCGATTTCGAGAACAAAATTCCATTATCATCACACAAAATACAAAACAAAATAATCATGGAAAAGAGGAAATTATCGCGAAATTACATAATGAAATTGAGAATTTGAAAACGAAACTAAGAAAAGCAAGTAAACAACAAAGTGATATATTATTGAATGATGTTTTTGGTGCCGGCCAAATTTAAAATTCAACAGTGAAAAGTGAATAGTTATTTATGTATCAAGGGAATTATTATATAAGGGCCTTAATGGGGAAGACCACTGAGAGAAGAAATCCGTGCAAACCTCTTTCAATCTACGAATCATGATTTACGTTTGATGTACAATCAATATTATGAGTTGAAGTTGAAGGGAATCGAATCTATATCATTTTGAAATCAGCATATTTCATTTGATATTTCAAACAGCCAAATATGATGGTGGAGTCGTGACGTATTAGTCCCGAACTGTAGCTATCTCTCTCTGATACCTCGTCATTCTGCCGTGTTGCAGTGTGATTGGTCAGTTCAAGGACAATAGGCGTGTTGGGAATAAGACGTCGCACCAGTCACACCAATGAATTGGCAAAATTTCGAATGGCGCAGAAATTGTGTGTTTTGAAATGGACATATTCTAATTTATTATTTTCATCGTCTTAGCATGGATGACAAAATTCAAAATTAATTCGCTGATAGTTTTTCAGTATAGAGTTCACGATAATGTCATTTTGAAAAATCAGTGGTCTTTCCCATTACGCTGGACGTTATCGTTTTGGAGATATTTTCTATATCGATCCATGTTACTTAGCTCGTAGGACGCTAAGTGGAGTTGCTGAGAACTTTAAAAAACCAAGTTTTGGTAGGTCTCGTCAAAATAAACTACTATTTTCCTATCAAATGTTTATCGAAAAATGATTTGTTCTCTGTATTTCAGCACCCTGTATCTCCGAAATGAAGCATTTCCGGACTCAAAAGCTTATATAGACTTTATTTCTTATAATTGTCTCAGGAATACTTCACTTGAAAGTACTTATGTTACTTCCTGTATATTGAGAATACCTAACTTTAATTTGATATAAATAACTTCATGTTTTATACTCATCACTGGAGTACAGTTTCACATACAATAAGGAATTATAGCTATAATTTTATCCGAGATTTTATCCATATGTGTATATTTTTGTTACATGCATTCTTTTCATTTATATAACAGTTGTTCTGCTAGAAGTTTATCACTATAAATTGAAGTGGGTGTTTGTACCCTATACCCATTGTACATCTACGGCTATGATTGATTTGACAGAAAATATAACCTCTAAAATCGTCTCTGACAATCAGGCGCTACTACGGGAATTGAAAAGACAAAGAGCAGAATATATATGTCTTATTCTTTTATTCACCTTAACCATTGTATTATAGAAAATAGAAAAGGACAAAAGTTCAGCTGTGTCCGAACTCTTATCAAACTAATACCATCCAGTGACTCTAGTCAGTACTGTCAGTAAATCTCTCGGTAAATCCACTAACTCTGCTGAAAATCTGTGTTCCGAAATATACAGGATTACTGGTAATTCGTTACATTCCTTTGGTGATGTGTTAGGGAAGGTGGTGAGGAGTGAATTAAACCCTAATATTATGTATTATGCAAAAGTTAGTAATTTTTAAGATATCTAAGATTTTCTGTTTTTCTCCAAGAGGTAGACTTTCAAGGTTTAATAATTATTAGTTTTCCAAAAAAGCTGCTGTACGTTTTTTCAATCTTCCAACTAGAATACATTATCAACCAAGTTATCAACACTATGGTCTTATGTTTGAAATGAAGAAAATCCAGAAATAATTGAGACCAAAAATAAATTGTAAAGTTTTATTTATGAATTGTGGATTTTATTACCTTCTAGCGGTTAATTTTAGAAGAAGCTCTAAGCCACATTTGTCCATATTACCCGATATTACCATTTACTTTTCAAAAATCCTGTTCAACGTGAGAGCCTCTATTACGAATACTTGCTCGGCAGCGTCTTCTTATTTCCGTATTTGTTATTCTGTTAGTCAAATTATTTTGTGCACCGGTTATCCTTTGAATGGGCTTTTCCGGGTGTTTACTGTGGTTGCATAAACTAGCGCTTCCATATAACCCCACACATAATAATCAAGAGGGGTTAGGTCTGGGCTTCGCAATGGCCAACTTATTGGACCTGACCTTCCAACGGTTAGGGAAACGTTCATCCAGGAGCTACCGAACAATCAGCAGATAATGCGATGGACAACCGTTTTGTTGGAGTATCATTCGTCCTTTGATGGCGAGAGGGAGAGAAACATCCTCAAGACGTTCCCAGTAAATCATGCCGTAAGAAAATGCACATACATTTGCCCGTTCGAATTGGCTAGGAAAGAATAATTGAGGTCCTATTAATTATCGGTCAATGAGTCCCATCCACACATTTATAGAAACTGTTTGTTGGAAACTAGTTCCCCTTGTTAAGCGGGGGTTTTCTATGGTCCAATAATTGAGGTTATGAAAATTCGTTGTGCTATTTGGATGCCTCCAGGAAATAAACGAGAATAAAAAACAAATTGTTGCTGTATCACCAAAAATAAATACTGATAGGCATTTTTCAAGTATGTCTTTTGTCTTTTACTATTCGTTTAATAAAGCCGTATCAAGCACTTTCAGTTCTATTTGTACCCAATAGCCTTAAGGAAGTTTTGACAAATTTTTTGACAAATGTGGCTTAGAGATTTTCCTAAAAATAACCGCTAGAAAGTGTTAAAATCGAGGTTAAAATCCACAATTCACAAACAAAAATTCGACTTTGTATTTAAAATTCTTCTATGATCTAAATTATTCCTGATTTTTATTTCGTTTCAAACATGAGACCACAGTCATGTTCATCATGTATTCTAGTCAAAAGATTGAAAGAAGGGACAGCAGATTTTCGGGAAACTATCTTTTAAACCCTTGAAGTCTACCTCTTGGGGAAAAACAGAAAATCATAAAAATCTCAAAAACTATTAACTATCGCCTAATGCCTATTAGAGTTAGATTCAATCCTTCACCCTTCACCCTATCACATCTCCAAAGGAATGTATCGAATTACCAGTAACCCTGTAGAATCAAAAATACAGTGGTGTAATTCGGAACACTTTTTCATGGTTTTCATCAGTAATCAGCAGCAGTTGATCATCTGGTGAAATTTGAATATTATTCTAATGGTCAAATATTTTGATAACAGGCCTTTTCTGATATTATTATTAATTTATTATTTTATTATTGATGAGACAAGACTTGATATTTGAAAAACAAGGACATTCCTTCCCCCTCTAAAATAATAACAGTTCACTGAAGCCATACTACCTTTTGATAGTCAGCAATTCCAGCAGAATGTTGAATCGAAATATTTGAAACGATGTCTGCTCACAAGTACCTGTCACTATTAGTGAATTTTGTTGATTTCGGAATGAAAAATCAGCAGTTTCAGTAGTGTTAGTTGAATTCGGAATGTAGCCCGAGTTATCAATAAATCTGTCAAATACGCGATATTTATTTATTCACAATCACCTTATAACTGAAGGGTCATCCCGAGGGGTCATCCCGGGGGTCATCCACATTTCTGAACCGCGTAAAGTACCACTCTATCCACTAGTGGAATAATGAAATTATTTTATTCCACTAGGAGAATAATGAAAAAATCAATCTTGAATCGATTACGTTTCACTTGTTCATAATTGATATTAACCTCGATATTAACATTTATATGAATATTAGACATTTCTTTCTTTTTATATCATACGTTCGTTGTCAACCTCGAAAGATGTCGAACAGCACTTTATCAAGACTCTTTCATCCATAGAACGGCTAAGCTCTGGAATTCATTGCCTGTGGAAGTATTCCCAACAACATATAATCTCCAGAAGTTCAAAAAAAATTCCAATACCTACCTCCTGTCCCTATCCTCCCTTGGAATGCACGATGTTCTTTGAACATTATAGGGATTCCCTTTCGTGCGCTCCAAGCGATAAAAAAAATACTTCACTTCGATTCCATTAATAACAAGCTTGTATAGTTGTCATCGGTTTCAGAACGCATAGTGCCTGTAGAACTTTTTGATTAATCTCCAAAGTTAATGAATGTCTCCTCTTGTAAAGAACGATTAGTACATCAGGAGAACCTTGAATTATTCTTGCTATTGAGCTTAATGAATATAGAATCATCTATATAACTTTCTGCGACAGCTCAGCTTCTCCACCCACCATGGCATTCGAGATGGCATTTAATTGTTGTAAGATCAGCACCTCGATCAGTCAAATAATTAGGTTGTTGTAATTAAATGTCAAACAACTGAAGCAAGTGAAAAAGAATGATAGATCAACTTGAT